ATCCACCAACTGGGATAAAGTAGGCAATAGCAAGGCCAACTGCCCTGTCACTGGAGGCTTGGACGTGTGGTAGAGACCGCTGCGTGAGGTCAGGAACCAACCCTCCCGAAGGAAAACACCGACGTGACTGTTGGAGGAGGAGGAGAGAGGATGTGGTGGAAATAGTCCAGACCAGAATCCAGACTCCCACCCAGAGCCCCGCTCTCCCGATAACCGGCTTCTGCAGTTGTGTGATGCACTTTCCTGTTCTCAGACAGATTGCAGAGTGGAAGGGAGAGTGAGGAGGGGGACACAAGGGTAGTGGCAAGAGACAGAAAGAGGGGGAGAGAGAGGAACTAGATGTGCGTGTGTCTCTGGGGTTTTTCAGACAAAGCTATTATCAAAATGCCAACCGGCTCCTGCCTGGCCAATTTGCATATTCCATGCTGTGCTCTTTGAAGCAGGATGAATATGCATGAGGGCTTGGGCGGGGTGTGGAGCTGCTGGGCTGTGGGCTAAGGTGGCTCATTGTTCTTTTCAAAGGAAGGCATTGATATGAAGCCAAGGCACCTCTCTGGTCAGCAGAGTGGCCTCTGCTTCCCCTCCCTCACGAAGGGAGGGGGAAAGCAAAGCGGAGGCTCAGACAGAAAGCCTGGCGACTATCCGCTCATCCTCTCTGGAAATAAATAATCAGGCGCCATCAAGAACGCAAGTCTTTTCTCCAAGAGCAGCATTTAATTACGCTGCCCTCCACGCATGCTAATCACGGAGGCTGGCTTGTGGTGGGAGTCACCTCTCCTGGCCTCCGGGGAAGCAGGGGCTGCCTCTGCCCATTCTGTGCTCCTGCAGCAGGGCAGGCTGGACACCCCAGGTGCTCCCTGCTCTTGGCCTTGGGTGAGACCCCCAATGCCGCAGTGTCTGGGCGAGGAGGAGGCAGGGCCCTGCGGGTGCTGGGAGCGGTCCGGGAAGGCCTGCGTGCCCATCAGAACCGGATTCATGGCTCCTCCTGAGATACCCGCAGGATGGCTCCTCCCTGACCATCCACATCTCGTCTTCCCCGGCCACCAGCCAGACACAGAGTCACCCTCCAGACCATCCGGAACAGATAAAGCTCTATTTCATTTTTCAAAGCCAGTTTATCCCCCAAACATCGGGGCCACAACACTCTCCCGTTAGCTTTCCCGGCTGAGCTGTCACATCCGGGTCCCTCCCGAAAGAGAGACAAGGGTAGGGAACGTTTGGAAAACAGCTTTGTGTGCGCGGGACCGTGCGTTTCGACCCCACATAAACGATGACCGGAGCGTCCTTACCAGGACGTGGCCACGTGACCCTTGGCCCAACCCACGCGGGGCGCCATTCGCTGGAAGGAACCGAGATGGACTTGAGCATGGCCATCAGGGCCAACCGCAGACCGAAGGGCCGGCCGACCTCGGGGTGCCGCCTCCGCGCTTCTACAACCGGAAGGACGAGGCGCGGTGAATGCTGGGAGCGGGGAACCGCGTGCACCTGGAACTGCACCTGGAACTGCACCTGCGCTCAGCCGCAGCCTCCTCGCAAAGCTTCTCCAGACCTTGAGGCAAACACATTGCCTGGAGAGCTTGTCTCTCACGGGCAGCGCCGTGTTGTCAGCGCTGCCGGTCTGGACACCACATGCCGAGCAGGAGCGAGGATAGAGGGAAGGACAGTGCAAAACCATGACAATGGGACCGAACATTCCCACTAAGACTGCTTGCTGATGGGGACAAAAGGCGGGAAGAGAGGGACCACTGTCCCCACCTTTCCCCGCTCACCTCCTCTAGCTGGAGCACATCCCTGACACTTGGGATTTATTTTTAACTGCCAGCAGCTTTGATTATCTTGTCTCTGCTGCCTCAGACACCTGCTGACAGGATGCATGGGGGGAAGGAGTGGCTGACCCAGATCTGACAAATACAAGGCAGGAAGGAAAGCTCTGGAGGATTTTCTGCTTCCCTTTTGCTGAGGCGGGTGAAAAACCCCACAGCCGGCAAATAACCTGGTGCCCCCCTCCCCCTGCCCCACCATGACCCCTGGCATCCTTGACCACAGTGCCAGTGAATACAGAACTGCAGTCATCCCTTTGTGCCAAAGCACTGGGGCTCATGCCAGTGTGTTGGCCCCTGAGGGTGTACACAGGAACCCGCCCCACCCCCCAGTAGCCAGGCCTCCACAGGTGTAGACATACTGCTCTAGGTGGATGCCTGAGTTAGACCTGTAGGCACAGGGGCAGCTTCCCTGGAGGTGGAGGGCCCCCCCCTCACCCCAAGGTAGGACAGCTCCTGCTCGGTGGTCCTGCTCCCAGAAAAGCAGGGGCCCAAGAAGTGGGAGGCAAGGCACCAGGGAGGCCTTCCATTGTCATCCACATCGACCCGCAGCCTTCTGTGGGGTTGCCCACATGATAAAGTCTGGCTTTCCGTTTGGCATGTTTGGTTAGAGCAAACGCCATATGAAGGGTGAGTGGAAAGGGGCAGTCTGACTCCACCCTTTCTGACGGTCTCTGCTTGCCAGTCTCCTCATCCGTAAAACCTGGGCGACACTATGGCCTCCTGCCACGGAGGCTCGCTCTGATGTGAGACTCGGTTACGTTGGGATAGTGTCAGTGGCAGGCACATGGCAAGGGCTCTATAAAGGTTTTTAAGACAGAGCTGTGCAGGGGCACCTGGGTGAGCTCAGTCGTTAAGCATCTGCCTTCGGCTCAGGTCATGATCCCAGGGTCCTGTCATCGAGTCCTGCATCAGGCTCCCCGCTCAGCAGGGCATCTGCTTCTCCCTCTGCCTCTGCCCCTCACCCTGCTTGTGCTCTCTTGGTCAAATAAATAAATAAAATTAAAAAAAAAAAAAAAGAAAGAAAGGAAGAAAAAAGACGGCATTGTGGGAATTCATGGGGCTACTGTTATTCAAACCAGAAGATGGAAGCCAAGTTCAGGTTGTGGCAAAATCAAGGCAGCATGCTGGTAAGAAGACGGCAGTCATCAAGGCTGACATTGCCTGCCACCAAGGCCAGCACAGCATCCAGGAGTTGGGGCGCAGGACCTCTGGGGCTACAGAAAGGGCAGGGGAGGGCACAGTCAGCCACAGGACACCACTCCCCAAGGTCACTGGAGGTGTTCAGGCAGAGTCGCAATCCCCCGAGCTGGGATGGTCTAGCACAGCTGACTCCCTCCAGCTCCCGAGCCTCCAGGTCGCCATGGAGGGGCTGGTAAGGGCCGGGGTGGCCATCTCAGTGGCAGGTATGGGCTGTTCCTTGAGACCCTTTTATCTGCTAATGTCCCTGTGGCCCCTGTAGTCTGACAACCCCCCCACCAGCAGTTCCTCTTACACATTGCATGTCTCCCTTAAAGTTGCCAAGCAGCAAGATCCTGAGGGCCTGTGGATGGCCTCCTCCTTCTGACTGTACCCATGGGCCCCACCTCAGGGCCCATGCTCGGGTCCCTCAACACCCGGTCATCTGCTGTGAGCCCTGGAACGTCAGGTCAAGGCAGTCCCACCGCCGCCTTTCTCTCCAGGGTTGACACACCACGCTCCAGAGCCCATGAAGAATATTAATTAAATGAAGGTTTATTTCAAAATTAGTCTTAGAGTGTAAGCTGTTTTCGAGGGCTGGAGCCAGACTACACAGTGAGCGGGAGGGCGCTTGCCTTCCTCCGCCGCGGGCGGAGAGGCGCCTCCCAGCCCTGCCCCTCGGTCATGCATCCAATGATCACTAGGACTAGAAGCCAACAGCAAAGGACCCCGCGCGCTTGCTCATGTTTAATCCAGGTTAAGCTATACACGTTTAAATACACGTCGGAGGTTACGTGGTGTCATGCAGTCCCTGGGTTGGAATGACTCTTGCTCCGTGACCTCCGCAGCAAGGCTGCCCCAGAGGGCAAGGTTAGGTAGGACAGAGCACTGCGAAGAGAAGGAGAGAGGAGAGAGGTCAAAGCCCAGCGCGAGTCAGGACCTGCCAGTCCAGGGGGGCCCCGGCCCAGAGGCAGTCCTGTCCTGAACAGAGAGCCTCCCGCCCCCCTGGGACCCAGGGAATGACTGCCATCACATGTCTTCCTTCTGGAAGAAGGAAAATACGACGGGAAGGTGGCCGCCTGGTGCGCGGATCTGGTCTCTGGTGCTTATCTGCCTGAGTTCAAGCCCTGGATCCGGCCTGTGCTAATTCTACGACCTTGGGGAAATGGCTCCACATCTCCGCGCTCAGTTCTCCATGTGTACAACAGACAGTGCCTCTGCCTACCCCGCAGGGTTGTTCAGAAGCAAACAGAAAGTGCTCAGTAAATGTTAACTAGTTTTATGAATTCACTGACATTTCCGTGGATCGCGGTGGAGAAAGGGGTCCAGCCCTCGGGCTCCCAGACTTACCCAACCCATTTCCACAGACCTCCTTTGAGAAATTGGCTTTGAAAGCCTTTAAGAGGCAGAAGTTCTTCCCAATGTTTAGCCTGAAGTCCTCCTGCAGAAAGTTAAGACTAATCTTTCTGATCCTTATGGAAACAATACCACCCAGAGGTTCTTATCCGAGATCCGCAAGCCTACTGGAAGCGTACCCAGCGTCGCATGTGCTTGTGGACAAAGCCGAATGAAATCAAGAATCCAGACAACGGATGACCATCAGTGGATACTGTTACGGCCTGAGTGTCCGGGGCCCCCAGCCAAACTCCCGTATGCGGCTGTATTTGGAGACGGAACCTCTAAGGAAGTGATCGTAAATGAGTCATAGGATGGCGCTCTGCTCTGATCGTCCTTATAAGAGGAGACACCAGAGAGCCCTCATTCTCTCCCTTCACGTGCACACAGGACAGGCCACGTGAGGACACAGCCAGAAGGTGGCTGTCTACAAGCCAAGAAAAGAGCCCTCGCTAGCAACTGGATCTGCTGGCATCTTGATCATGGACTTCTAGCCTCTGAAACTGTGAGAAAACACATTTCTGTTGTTGAAGTAATCCCCCCCACCAACAACACCCCCTACCCCCGGTGCTATTTTGTTGTAGCAGCCTGAGCAGACTAATACAGATATTAACATCACAGAAAGAAAGACAACCGGAGAATATGTGTCTCTTAATGGAAGTTCAGCACTACTGATCATGTAATGCTTATCAAAAGATTTGAGACTGAGTCTGATCCAGCCTCTGGCTCTGCCAGCCAACAGGAAATACGAAAAATGGAAGAACATGTTAAATTAAATCATGGGGACACAACTGACAAGCAGAAGCCAAAACAAAGAAATTCTATGGGGCAAATAGCCTGGTTTCTCCAAGAAATAAATTTCAAGGAACGAGAGGAAAGGAAGGGGAACCTGTATATATATAAAAAGAGACTCAGGAGAGATATTATCCAATTGCAATGTATGGGCTCCCCTTGGATCCTGATGAGAAACAGATGAGAAAATGTAACAGGGAAATGTGAGCACTGATTGGACAAAGATATTGAGACTTTTTTTATTTTTCTAGTTGTGATAACAATATTATGGTTAGGTTTTTGAAAAAAGTCTTTATGTTTTAGAAATGTACACTGAGATACTTATAGATTAAGAAAACTGATGGTTTGGATTTGCTTCAAAACCATACGGAGGGGAGAAGCTGGGTAGGGGTGTGAGTGAACAAGATAGGCCACGAATCCATGGTCGCTGAAGCAGGATAAGTACATGAGAGTTCATTATTCTCGTCACTCGGCTTTTATGGATGTTAACAGCTCCCTTAATAAAAGATGAAACAAAAGTCGGGCAAGGATGTAGCTAGGCATGATTTCAAGCAGCTGAGACCAGTAAATGTAGCCCCGGGCTCTGTTTTTTCCCTATGAAATAGCCTGAACTCTCCAGAACTTTCACAATCAGGCTCATGCTGGTTCCGCAGCTCTAATGTGGAGTTGCTCTGGTGCCTCCAGGGAGAAGGAATCCCCTTCTCAGGCCTCCTGGCAACATGCAAAGACAAAACCCCATTCCTGGGAGGCCTCACAATCGCCCACTGGAGGACCCTGACCCTGTGCACCCAGTGCCATCTGGGCTGGCGGGACGCTCTGGGAAGGCTGAGGAACATAGCAGGTTCCCTGCCTTCAGCGGGAGGTCTTGGGGAGGGGAACCCCAGGAAGCCCTGCTCCGGGGGCCCCGTGGGGCTGCTCTCACCTTTTAAAATGTAGTCCGTTAGCAAAGTGGGCACCTTCTCATTATCCTCCTTCATGGCAAAGAGAACTAAGGAAGGAGAGAGAGAAAGAGAGATGAGCCAAGATGCCAGCATGGCATAAAGGTCACTTCTAGACTGACAACTCACCAACCCAGAGTGAGAAATCAAACCAACCCAGAGTGAGAAAGGAAACCAGACATCACTGAGTATGGAGCAAACATCTAGAAGTTTCTGTCAAGCATCAGCACTCCACCTGCTGATGGAGTATAATACATCCAAAAATCTGAGTGGCCTGTTGGTGACTTTATTTTCTTTTATCTTTTACTTTTTTTTTTTTTGCTCATCTATAATCTCCACATTATTTCCTAAGTATCTCTCTTTAATAAGCATGAAAAGAAATAAAGCAATTAAAAAAAAGAATCAGCTTTCAGATGCAATCTAAATGTTAAGAATAACAGTCATCCCATCATTGAATCGGCAACAAAACTCTTTAAAGACATTCCATGCATGTAAACAGATATTGGAAAATTTTCTCTGATTATTATGATTATAACTCATTATTCCTATTTATTAATAACAAATGAACTTATTTTAACACATGATTTTTTTTCTGTTTTATGCCCACCACAGTGCTAGAATTTGTGGAAATGCAAAAGACTACGGACCCTCAAGGAACTCATAGATTCCTCATTGAGACTCCTGATGATTTACACACATACAAGGCAAACAAGAGGGAAGTTATGAAAGCGTAAAGGCTTTTCTTATAGAAGTTTTGAAAGTAGTTTTTTCTGTTATTAAACGAGGTGCCACTTTCTCATGTTCATAATTCATATTGTGGAAGTCAGCTTTGTAGAAAATCTTTTAAGAATGTTGTTGGACTTTGTTTACAATATCAAAAAATGAGGGCAGGAGAGAGTGCAGGATTTTGCATCACACATGGCTTTAAAGAAGCCAGGGTGTATCTATCCCATGTAGTCTTAGAGACCTCTATGAAAAACGAGAGACAGATTCATGGGTACAAGACATATTTACCGGTGAAGCAAGAAGGCTGCAGGGCATCGTGGATTAGCTTGGGAATGAATAAATAAATGCTAATATTCATAGAAAAAGTCTGGAAGAATGTGCGTGAATCTGTTAAGACTGATTATCTCTGGGTGCAAGACGACAGGGGATGTTCCTTTCTATACCCTATTTCTGCAGGGTCTGGTCTTCTTCAATGAGTACGTTTTGCTTTTCTGCAAGCAGGGAAAGCAAGAAAGGTCAGCCGGCACCGGTCACCAGGAGGAGGCAGCCCCGGCATTAAAGGGGACGGATCTCCATCCTGTTCTACGGCTCTGCTCTCTCCTGATACCTCTGCCTCGCTTCACGTCGGCGTGAGTTAGTGGCCAGGTCCCAGGGCAAGAAAGAGCTTGAAACTGGGGCCCTCCAGGTCTTGGTTTAAAAGATTTCTTCTGTAGTTTTAGATGTGTATTCGTGTCAACCTAACAGGCTGCTAGTACTTTACAACTGAATATGGGCGCACCAAATGCCGCTCCAAGAAGACAGCACTGGGGGGCGCCTGGGTGGCTCAGTGGGTTAAGCATTGGCCTTCAACTGAGGTCACAATCCCAGGGTGCTGGGATAGAGCCCCACCTCCAGCTCCCTGCTCAGTGGGGCGTCTCTTTCTGCCCCTCCCCATGTGGTGCATGCTCTCTCCCTCTCTCTCTTTCTCAAGTAAATAAATAAAATTCTAAAAAAAAAAAGAAGACAGCTATAAAAATGCAACCCTTGCTTTCAGCCAATATGCATCTAAGTTTATTGCCAAAATCCAAAATGTATAGGAGTTGTCTGGTCCCAAGAGCTGGTCCGGGGCCTGTGCCCTTGGTTCAGGAATAAAGAAGAGACATTCACAGAGGAATGGCCAAAGGACTGGCCAAAAAAAAAAAGAAAGCTTTTATAACCTGCCGCAGAATTCACATTCAGGAAAGATGGCAGTTTTTTCTTTTAAAAAGAATAAAATATTGGAATGCGGTGTACACACATGATAGAAGAGAGAGCCATAAAAAGAATGTTAACCAAATGTTAACTGATATGACTAAAATCATGATAGAAAATTTTATAGCCAGTATAATCCCAAGTATGTGGAGAAGACATAAAACATTATGGCTGAAAACACCAAAATAGTAACCACAGTGGAGGGGACAATGAATTATTTATTTTCTTTTGTTCACTGTTCTGTATCTCCAAACTATTCTAAATGATGGAAACACTCCAATTAAAATTTTCTAAACGGACCTGAAACATGTAAATAAACCCACAGTTTCTTAATTAAAATGAAAGGATTTCACGCTGAATTCCTGAATGGGTATCTGTAATAAATTTATAGCTCTTCCTTTAAAAAAAAAAAAAACCATGATTGAGTACTTTACATATATCAACCTTCATAATCTGTCCAAATTATTTTCCAAATGCTTACTGCTTGTGAAAACACAAACACCTATAAATGTCAGTTCGTTTCTGTCTGCTCCCTTGGAAAAAAGTCTTAGTGCATATTTATGCAAATAGAGGAGTTTAAAAGGAGTGAAGAAGATGCCAAGGTACTTCGAACTGAAAATTCCAGATTCTCAAGGACGCTGTATCCATGGATGTAGCCAGGGTTTCTGTTTACCAGAACCGCCTGCTTTGGTCCCCAGATTGATAACAATGGCAATGTTCGGTCACCTTTATAGCCCGGGGTGGGGGGAGGCAGAGGGGGGCAGCAGGTGTCTGTCTTCCTCCGCAGAACAGAAGAAGCTCCTCTTGCCCTCCCCTGCGCTAGCCTGATGCTCAAGCCCCTCCCTCCCAGGCAAAGGCAGGGCAGCCCTGGGCTGGACAGGCCCGGTGACTCTGTCACTCCGCGCAGTTCACGGTTGCCAGGGAGATGGACGTTCCTGTGATTCACTGCGCCGGCCACCCCGTCGCAGCCTCGGATTTTTCTCTTCCTAAAAGAATCAGGCTGACACTGATGGCTAATACCAAGAGCCCCCAGCCTTTTGGGGGTTGTTGCGTTTGATGTACATGAAGAGATTTTGCCTACAGAGGGCTCTTTGTCACACACGGGTTTCTCCCATCGCTCAGGATGTTTGTTAATATTTGACAATAGAGCCAAAGCAGAGGAGAGGAGGCAGTCGTTTCCTGGAAGGAAAACTATTCTTTCCTATCCCCCACTCCTGCCACCCAAGAAACCTTGATGCTCCTTAAAAAATGCAGCCAGCCCCATCAACCACGCCTCCTGCTGTGGGGCCATAGGTGGGACAAAGAAACAGCAAGCTGTTGCCAAGAGAACAGACAAGAGCCGACAAGGTGGAGAAGGCAAGGCTTTGAGCACTGTGGGGTGAGCCCCCACCCGCCCCCAACCTTTTCCACCAGCTCATTCCTTCCTGGCAAGGCTTTGCCCTTTACAAGGAAACAGCAACACAACAAGACGGCTCTGGGTGCCACTGCAGAGCACTATAGCTTTGCCCCTGCTCAGAGGGGGAGTGACACAGGGACACGGAGCCCGTTCCCACCCATCTAACGTGCCCCTCATGGGGAGGGAGGGATGGGAGTGGGCGACCCGTCTCTCTGAGGATGAGAGGAACTCACTGTTTGTCAGCATCTGAAGATCTTCCACTGACGGGGGCAAGGCCTTCTTCTCATAAGGGATGACCGTGTTCAGATACTACGAGACAAACATACAAACATGCCAGGCAGGGCTGGAAATACAAGTGTGGTCCCTCCGAGGGTGAGATGTGTGGACAATTCGCACGGGGACTGTGATTGTCTCTCCCTGACGTGCTCCACGGAAGTTGACAGGCACAGCAACACCCATGATGCTCCGCACACCCCTGCCTCGGGACCCCTTCCTGTCTCTGGAGAAAGTCCCTGAATGGGGCGCCTGGGTGGCTCAGTGGGTTAAAGCCTCTGCCTTCAGCTCAGGTCATGATCTCAGGGTCCTAGAATGGAGCCCCACGTCGGGCCCTCTGCTCAGCGGGGAGCCTGCTTCCCTTCCTCTCTCTCTGTCAAATAAATAAATAAAATCTTGAAAGAAAGAAAGAAAGAAAGAAAGAAAGAAAGAAAGAAAGAAAGAAAGAAAGAAAGAAAGAAAGAAAGAAAGAAGGAAAGACCCTAAAAGTAAGACTTTCCCATATCAGCCCTCCAGTCCATCAAATACATTCTTCGGACAACCAGAAGCTCTTGGATATTTAGGAATCCTGGGGAGCTTTTTCTCCTTCAGGCTGAGCGCAGAGAACATTCTAAAGGGAGATTATACTTTTGTGTGCTTGGGCAGGCAATATGAAATCGAACAATCTCTCTTTTGTCAAAAATGACGGGGGAGAGAACCTCAACACCGCCCTTGGTCTTGGACGTTGGGTTTGCTCCCTCTGCTGGATATGAGGTGCTTCTACAACAAGATCATCTTGGCCCCGTGGGGCCCAAGAACAGGGTGCCCGAGAGATCCTGAAGGTCGGGGGGGTGGGAGGGGGTGGGAGGGGTAGCCTGGGGGACTGAGTGAGAAGAGCTGCAGCTCAAACACCATAAGACTTCTCTTTTGGTCTTGGTTCTGCCCCTAGCGGTGGGGTCTTGAGAGAAGACCTAATCTCTCCAGATCTTAGTTCTCACAGCTGCAAAATGAGGGGAGCGGGTTCCATGTTCCCAGAATGTCCTCCCGTGCCGCAGTGCCATAATTCTCACCCTTAGGATTCAGCTACAAAGATGTCTAACACGTACACAATTACGTGCGCTCTCTCCACGATCTCAAGCTTGTCCCTTCTATCAGATTATGCACTTCATGAGCACAGAGCCCAGGACTTACTCATCTTTGCCCCTGAGGGCTTGGCAACAGCTCAAAACAAAACAAAACAAAACAAAACCCAGTTCACCCTTTAAAAGACACGGTTCCTTCTTAAGAGTGGAAGAAGATGATGGGGCACCTGGTGGCTCAGTCGGCTACGCGCCTGCTTTGGCTCAGTATCCTGGGATCAACTCCCGCATCGGGCTCCCTGGTTCTCCCTCTCCCTCTGCCCACACCCCCCTGCTGCTCGCGCTCATGCTCTCTCTCACTCTATCCGAAATAAACAAGTTAAATTAAAAAAAAAAAAAAGAAGAAGAAGAAGAAGAAGAAGGGGGCACCTGGATGGCTCAGTGGGTTAAGCCTCTGCCTTCGGCTCAGGTCATGATCTCATGGTCCTGGGATCGAGCCCCACATCAGGCTCTCTGCTCAGCAGGGAGCCTCCCCTCTCTCTCCCTGCCTGCCTCTGTACCTACTTGTGATCTCTCTCTCTGTCAAACAAATAAATAAAATCTAAAAAAAAAAAAAAAAAAAGAGGAAGAAGAAGAAAATGAGTGGAAGAAGATGGTAAACCTCCCTTTGCCCGAGGGCTGGGATAATTCTAGTGAATCACCAAACCCTGTTCTGCAGGCGAGGCTAGGTGGCGAGGGTCAGGAGGAAAGCTGGGAGCCTGGGAGTTGCAGGTACCTGTTTGTCCGTCCCTGAGGAGCCGAAGGTCTGGCGGATGCCGCTCTGCAGGATGTTGGAGATGCCTTCCATGCTGAAACGCTGGGGAGAGGACGGGCGGGGCTCAAGAACGAATGCTTCCTGCTCCATAGTCATCGCTCCCCGGGGACTTGGGTGTCCTCCCTAAGCTACCCAGACCCACCGGCCTCCCCGTGTCCCAGATAACACCTGGGCTAACAAATGGGCCAAAACTTAAGGCTGAGCTTTGCAAGAACCAACAGTCGAGTCTCAAAGACTCTTATCTTAGTCAGTCCCTCGGGGCAACGGGTCCCCCAGGCCTTCCCTGGTTTCCTCCCTTCAGCCTCGTCGCGGACAGGGAATAAAGCAGGCCCGTACGCCTGGGACAGATGATGACACAGCATCTTACAGGGGAAAACAAAGTGTCCGGCCACTGGGAAGGGCAGATGTAAGTAAAGCTACTGTCTGTATCTGGGAAGCCTTTACCAAAACGCACAAGCCTAGGCCCAATTCAGGAGGTCTGGGACAGAGCCTCGGCCAAAATATTTGGAACAATCTCCTTGGAGGATTCATTCTCCAGAGCTTCCCTGATCACCAACCAGTGGTCTGAAGAATCCTGTCAGGCTCCCAGCAAGGCGTCTGAATTTGCAACCCCCTCCCGCCATCCTAAGGAGAGCAGTCGGGACGAGTAGCCGGGATGCTGACTTGAGTCCCAGGCACAGCGCCCCTCAGTACTAACTGTCTTCCCCCCTCTTTCTAAGGTCTTGCCTCAGGGAGCCCAGGCCACACACAAGTATTTTCCAGTGTCCACGTCCAGTGTCCCCCAGCCAGCCCGAGGTCCTCAAGAGGAGGAAAGGAGAAAGGGGGGCCGCCTTTCTCTTTACAGCCCTACTGTTTGCCCACGGTCCTGCTCACAGCCCCTGCTCAGTCCAGGTCTGCTTACGGGTCCTGCGCAGGCTTGGTACTGGGGCTGGACATGGCGACGACCGGAGGCCGGGCGCACCTCCTCTTCCCGCGGGCGGGGGGGGCGGGGCTTCACGTACCTTGAGAGGCATCTGGTTTCCCTTCTCTATCCGGCTGCTCTGCAGGCTCAGACCTTTCTCTTTCCGCCTCTTCTTCATCAGTTCCCGCTGCTCCTTCTGCTTGTTCTGAACCTCAATAAGCACCGTGATGAAGGAGTTCTTCACTTCCTTCTCGAACTCCAGCTCGTCCCGGCGGGCCAGCTGCTGCACCAGCTCCTCCGAGAAGTCCCGGATGGCGCCCTCCACCTGGTCCAGCAGCTCGGTCAACTCTGACCCAGACATGTGCCTTAGACCTACAGGGGGAGACCGACCCGCGGGTGACCACTGCATCTGAGCCAGAGCCCACTGGATGGCTCCTGGGGCCGTGTCTCCCAAGGGGACCCCTCCCACCTCCTTACAGGATGGGGAACTTAGGGGCATCCCCAGGAAGGAAGGGACCCATATACAACGGCCAAAGTGAACACCACTCTCAGGATAACAGAAGAGGAAGAAGAAACAGCCCCCACAGAAACCCATGGACTCCATTCAAAAAAATGTGCGTGGACAGGAACACCTGGGGGGCTCAGTCGGTGAAGCATCTGCCTTTGACTTCAGGTCATGATCCCAGGGTCCTGGGTTCAAGCCCCATGCTGTTGGGCTCCTTGCTCAGTAGGGAGCCTGCTTCTCCCTCTGCCTGCTCTGCCTGCCTCTCCCCCTTCTTGTGCTCTCTCTTTCTCTAACAAATAAATAAATAAAATCGTTTTTTTAAATGTGCACGGAGGGGTGCCTGGGTGGCTCAGTGGGTTAGGACCTCTGCCTTCGGCTCAGGTCATGATCCCAGGATCCTGGGATCGAGCCCCGCATTGGGCTCCCTGCTCGGCAGGCAGCCTGCTTCCCCTCCTCTCTCTCTGCCTGACTCTCTGCCTACTGGTGATCTCTGTCAAATAAATAAATAAAAATCTTTTAAAAAAATAAAATAAAATAGTGCACGGACAGGGGCGCCTGGGTGGCTCAGTGGGTTAAAGCTCTGCCTTTGGCACGGGTCATGATCTCGGGGTCCTGAGATCGATCCCCATATTGGGTTCTCTGCTTAGCGGGGAGTCTGCTCCCCACTCCCCCTCTGCCTGCCTCTCTATCTGCTTGTGATCTCTCTCTCTGTCAAATAAATAAAATCTTTAAAAAAAAATGTGCATGCACAGGCATGTGACTTTTTGATCCCTTCTTCCTCTTCCTAGTTTTCCTCTGTGTCTCTGATATTCCTGGTGCAAAATGGGTTGAGGATCAGGGGGAGAAAATATTCAGAGGAGGTTTTGGGCATATGTGCCGCAAAGCAGGAGAGAGATGGTGTTTGTCCCAAGAACTGATCAAGCTCTAGCCAGCCAGCAATCTCTGCACAGGGGTCTGAGGCCCCCTTCACCCCACGGTCCCACACAGCAGTGCAGAAATTCAAGAAACAAGGGAAATGTGCGGCTGACTGGGACCACAGGCTGAAAAGCGCATCCAGGCTGGTCAGTACAGAGCCTGCTGTCAGGGAAAAGGGAAAGGAAGCTGAGATAATGGGATACAGGTAACTTTGTCGTAAATTCTTGTCCCCTCAGATTTCTTCATTTAAAATAGATTGGGGGTGGGGGTGGGGAGTGCCTCTGTGGGCTCAATCTGTAGTGCCTGCAACTCTCCATCCCAAGGTCACAAGTTCAAGCCCCACGGAGGGCACGGAGCCTACAAAAACAAAACAAACAAACAAACAAAAGATCTGGGGGGGCGGGAGAGTGAGCATCTTCTCAAATTTGTCCCTTTCTAACATCTTTTGTTTCGGCCGCAGCACCCATTTTACTTCTCTGTTCTGTTTCTGCCACGGCCTGTGGATTTGCTGACGTGGTTCGCCCTCCCCCTTTATTCTGCTCTTTGGAGCTGTCCCCCTCCTTCTGCCCTTGCCATGTCCCTGTGCACTTGAGTCTTCGTGGCGCGTGGCTATGTTTGGGGCCTTTGTGTGGCTGAGAACAGCCTGAATAGAGCTCCGTAGCCAAATCAGCCCCGTCAGCGCGAGCACATTCCTTCAGCTTTTGCCCTCGCCCGGCCTCTGCTCTTAAGAGCCACAGAGTCTCGGTTCCTCAGCCTCCATTTTCACCCGTGTTCGGACCTCGTCACCTGCCCGACCCGCCTTCCCTCTGCCGTGTTTCTAAGTCCCCGCCGGCCCACACACGTGCCTCCTCCCCGCGAAGGGAGGTTTTCTGGGTAGTTCTATTTCCCCAACAGTGGCATCCCACAAGCCACCTCGCCTCTCAGCACCCTCGACGACCCCAACCCGCATGGAGCTGGGGTGGGGATGAAATGAGATGATGCACACTCTTAGAACTGGTCTGGCACATAGAGATCTTTCCAGAAATACCAGCTATCATGATCATTACCTTTTTCCTTGATTTCATGGGAGCCTCATTTTGGACAAGGGGTTCCGATTTCTTCTGCTCATTCTGCTTTCATCTTCACCTTTGCTTGGTTTTACCATTTTGACTGTGCTCGATTGCCTTTCCCCCCACCCCCAAAATTTGCTAACTTCTCTCCTGATGGCCAATAGGAAAGGGGTTGCCAACTCCCTGGGTTGGGGGTCCAACTAGGTACGTGTGAAGCGGGTGCCCACGGCCCGGCCCACAGGCAGGAGGGTCCATCCTCGGCAAGGCCACCTGCCAGGCCCCTCACCTTCGTAGGACCAGTTGTTGTTGAAGGTCTGGGTCAAGGCCTGCATCTCCTGCAGGAGGACCGAGTCTGCCTGGGAGGAGGTTTCTCCCTCATCCTCCTCTTCTAGGACTTCCTCTTCTTCCTCAGGGTCTGGGGAGTTCTGCATCATTTCCTCGATCTCCTCAATCACCTGAAGAAGGTACGCAAGAGAGTGCTAACTCTTGTCTCTGCCGGGGGTACATCCCAGCTCAGATTTGGGTCAGTTAAGGATATTTCTAACTTGCTGCCTATAAGATTCCTAAAGCAATATTGTTATTTAATAAATATTGAATAATAATAAAAATAGATCTGACCAAAGGCTTACATACACTCTTCCGTTAATGTAAAGCACTCTAAAATGTGAAATCTCTTCCAAGAACACCATTTAGATGAGTGCTTTATTGGAAATAAACTCCTCTTTCAGGAACCAAAGCAGAGCTGCCTGGAAGGGAACATTGACTTCAATGTGCTGAGCACTTTATTCCTAAGTGGGAAAACACTTTATCCCCCCAACTTTAACACAAAACCCAGCCCATTAATTGTTACAGTGCTTACGCTGTTCCTAGACCAACTCAAAATGGGGAGGCTTTTTTTTTTTTTTTTAGGTAGAGGAAATTTCTCCAGAATTCACCTAGGTAGGAGCTAAAGCTGCATAGCCACAAATGCCAAACAAGAAGCTAAAATAACAAAAGGAAAGGTGGGGTCTGGAGAGCAGAAAGGAACCAAGGAACCCAGCTGTAATCTCCGCTCTTACTAAGGATCTGTTCCTAGAAGAGAGAGCTAAATCAAAGGATTGCCAGAGGAAGACAGGAGAGCCGCTCTGTTCATTAACTGCTGACACATAAAGAAAATGGAAGAAGCAAAGACAGTCTGAAAGGCGTCCATGGATGTCTGATCACGACAGGGCACTCATGCATTTGTCTGTCCTTGATTCTGTGACGGGTTCAGGCTCCAGGCCCCTGGGCCTGGTGCTCTCTGACGCCGGCTCCTTCACGTCAGCTGGACCAAGGACAAGAGGACTTAGGGTGCCCGCCTTAAGAGTAATTTCTATTTTATTCCCATACCTTCTCACTTCCATTCAGCAAATTTAGGGAATACTTAGCCTTTGCTTCCTGAAAGCCATTTATAAAATGCAAGCAAACGACAAGCCCCCTTCAGAAATTTTACGGCTGACTTTCTCCTTCTCTCACAGAGAACTTCTCGCTAACCTTGGATCACTGAATTGCATTTCTCCTACAGTTCACAAGAAGAGCTGTCAGGCCCTCTTCTCTTTTCATCTGTCTCCCTTCAATCTCTTGACCCTTACCTGTTTATATCCCACCTTTTTGCCTCAGATCTGAAAGCGTTCCTTTGGCCAAAAAGTGCTTTCTGGCACCACAGGCTCCTGGTGGAGCTTTTTCGGAACTACTCTGTGAAAACCTTGTATGGTTCCTGCTCAAAAAGTTGCCCAGAAATATTCATTGACCAAAAAGTTGAAAAAAGAATCCAGAGACCCAAGATGATTCCCTCCTAAGTAATAAATGACTAAAGCCAACATTTAACTAATTCAATCAAATATCAAGCACTCACTTTTTTTTTTAATTAAACAAAGTCACAACTGTCCATTAAGACTCCTTTTGGAAGGCTCAGCATTTTGGGTATTCTGTGAAATATGAGAAAATACCCATCGTATAAAAGCCTCAACTGTCACCTCTATTTTTGCAAGAATAAGTCTTTGGGACCCTCATTTAAGTGTCTTGACTCTTTATTTTCCATTTTATTTTATTTCTTTTCAGCGTTCCAGTATTCATTGTTTATGCACCACACCCAGTGCTCCTTGCAATACATGTCCTCCTTAATACCCACCACCAGGCTCACCCAAACCCCCAGTCCCCCTCCCCTCCAAAACCCTCAGTTTGTTTCTCAGAGTCCACAGTCTCTCATGGTTTGTCTCCCCCTCCTGATTTCCCCCAACTCACTTCATGAGATTGCACTCCGAGGCTTAGCAAGAACTGAAGCCAGTCAACACCAGGCCTATCTCTGGCTATAATCAAACATGAGTCCTGCCCAACCCAAGGGTCAGGAATTATGTTCCTATTTACTGCAGGTGGGTAAACTGAGGCCTAGAGAGAAATGAATTCCCTTACCAAAGACACTCCAAGTCATCGACCCAGGCAACCATGAGACCATACATTTGTCTTTTGCTTTAAATGGACATGACACATATGTACTCAGACTTTTTCTTGATCCAAAGAACAAAAAGTCCCAAGAACCAAGAGAAACATTCATACCTGATCTGCTGTGAGTAGAGGCTCCTCATTGATACCAGAATCATGTTCACTCTTCTCATTGAACTCTTCCTCTTCTTTCTCATGGATCTGAAGGGGGGTGGGGCGTGGAATTCTGATTGATCATCAGCAGAACTAGGGTTCTCTTTACTGTCTGGTCTCTAGAACAGACGACACGGACTGAGAGGCCCATCCGGCCATCTGCTGTGTGAGGAGGGAATCTGAAGAGATGCCCAGAGTTTCATCCAATTCCAAACATACCCCTTCTGCCTCCCCGAGTCCAGCAAGAGCTTCTGACTCAAAGGAAGGAGCACTGTTCCTTAGCCCAGAGATGGGTCATCCCTGCATGAACAAGGTGAGTGATACCTCAACCAGTTCCTGCACCGAAGCCTCTCTTACTTAGACGAGGAGTTTCAATCTGGGGCGTTGTTTCCAGAGTGCACTGGTTGAGGCATTTTAAGGGGTGGGTTGTTCCAGTCCAAAGAGTCAAGCTTTGACTGGACTGGACACAAGGCCACCCTGTGATGGGAATCTAGGTGTGAGGTCACGGCTGCTGAAGGGGGTGCTGAAGCTACGTGAGACGTGCCAGAGAACAACCCGACCACGTGAACTGAGGCCCGGACAAAACAACAACAACGATATCGAAACAGGTGTCCCGTTCCTCAGAGATCCCACAGTGCCAAGTAAGATTCTAAGTTCACAACCACTGAGAGTCTGGATGTTGCAATCCAACAAGATATTCACAGCACATCTGGCTTTCCTAACCATATCCCAAATGGCCACTGCCCGGCATTTATGTTCAAATCCTGCACATCAACCCCTAAGCCACCCAACAATTTGTCTATGTCCAGAAGTCCGATCTGAAAGTCATTTAGGGGCTGGCGAGGGATGCCTCCGGAAATCTTTCTGCAAAGACACCTCTCATCCAGGAATCAATTGGACTTGCTCGTGGTTAGCTGGCTTGCTGATGGGCGGCTTTCCTGGGATTACGCTTCTGCTCTTCCAACAGAAGATGCCCAGTTCCCTCCCGAGCAACCATGTCAGAGATAAGCCATCCTCAGAAACTTCTCCCCTAACCTTTGAGCTCCACCTTGCCAGACATGCCTAACAAAACACATCACCTTCTATCTAGGTTTGCTTAAAACCAGGACTCTGTCATTAAAAAAATTAATCAAGTGCATCTTAAATGCCATCTGCACTCCACCTGCGTAAGGGGTAGGGCAGGGAGGTAATGGGATCATCCGAGGGGCTTGTATGCCAGATGGTGACATCTATTTCTGCTGGCGAACCCATATGCTCCTCTCTCTGCCAGGTGTACCACCTGTGGTAGTCGCCTGGCTTCCGCACTCCCCACTCTGCCAACTGAAGCCCCTGGAACCTCAGTTTGTTCGTGACTACACGGCTAGGGCAAACTTTCTCAGGGCCAGAAAGGCCTGCATTGGAAGTCACCCTGGGAGAAACAGAGTTCCTCATTTTCTGTTAGGATTCTTTTTTATAAGCGAGTGTTAGTCTATAACCAGAAATTTTTTGGGGGGTGGGGGGTGCCGGACAATAAGTGTATTCTAAAGATGGACGGTCTTTCTGAGACAGGGCCAGTTTCCACTGTTAGTAGAGCATCGTTGAGCTAAACCATCCCCCTTCAGGAGGTCTTCCCTCTGAGTTCCTGGCGGAAGGCAGAGAGGAAGCTTCTAGCGATAGACCCATCTTGTCATTTTTAAATGTTATTGAACCTCAACGGAGGTGCATGGATCCCTCTTAGAGCTGTCTCTCCTCTCCCCGTCTCTGGCACAAAGCCTACAGGTCTGACTTGTCAGGCTTGGGTGAAAAAAAGACCCGAAAATGACCTATAATCACTGATAAGTTTCCCTGCGTTCTAGGACGGTGGGAGCTGCACCTACCCCACGCTTCCTCAGACCTCAAAAGTGTGCCACTAAGAAGTAAAATAGAAAGAGAAGCAAACACAAAGTACTTAAAGGAAGCCCTGGCTCCTTCCCTCTCCCCAGTGTGGACAATTCCCTGCCTCTGCTTTCACCACACCCAACCTGTATCTGGCCTTTCCTCCTCCCTCTCTAGGTCTCCGGTTCGTCCCTTGGCACTTCTCTAGGGCTCCTCCCACATTTCCTCCCAGATCTCGAAGACTCTGTTCCTCCCTGACCCCTCTGTCACTTCTCAACGAGCCCTCTCCTCTTACAAATGCCGCTGAGAGGATCCCGACCTGCCAACCTGCCCTTCCTTATCGTGACAGTATCTTGTGCAGAGAGTATAAAGCTGGATGGGGATTAACAAAGGAAAAGAGAAAGAATTTTGAAAGATGATGGCATTTATATATATGGATAGGATTATGTGATTTACACACACACACACTTAGGCAGGCGGAAGAGTGTACGTATATTCTTATTCTTTTTTTTTATTAAAAAAATTTTTGTTAAGATTTTACTTATTCGACAGAGAGAGCACAAGCAGGCAGAGCAACAGGCAGAGGGAGAGGGGGAAACAGGCTCCCCACTGGGCAGGGAACCCGATGCAGGGCTCGATCCCAGGACCCTGGGATCATGACCTGAGCTGAAGGCAGATGCTTAACCCACTGAGCCACCCAGGTGCCCCTACTCTTATTCTTAATATATGACAGAGACCTAGAAATCGCCACGGGGAGTTCCTTTAGCCTCTCAGGTGACAATGAGAAGGCTAAAGCCACAAACAGCCCGCAGGCCAGGTCATCTGGGGCTGAATTTCTCTGTAGACTGAAACTCGAGTTGGTTCCACACTGTAGAAGTGAACTATGGCTCTTCCAAGAATTATCATTCTTCCAAGAGACTTCTTTCCAGAACGGAGGAGAGAAGACCTAGAGGCAGAAAAGGTCTGGCCATCTTCCTCCCCAGCAAGC